GTCTTGCTACTGGACTTTTATAACTCAGGATTAAAGAGTGAGGCTGAGGACTTTGTGCAACTCTGCCTCACTAAAATCCAATTCATGTGCACGTCAAGACATTACCCTGTGATGTCATTTGTCCTCTTCAAAAGTGACGGGAACAACAACAATCAGTGGTGATTTGCAACATGCACCAGAATAAGAGATTAGAGATAGCAAAACAATATTAGAAGTTGCTGTAGTGCCTGACCATGTTGTAATCAAGGCTTGTAATGATGAAGACTTTGAGTATGATAATGACTCAAAAAATTTAGAGGGAAGGGTGAATCTAAGGGACATTTTAAAAGAAGCAACAAGAGAACTGGGAATATAAGCTGAACGAGAGATTGAAATGACTTCAAACTTTCTAGTTTATGAGCTTGCCAGTGATTCTGCTGTTTTCTCAGAAATGGGATAGTTTGGGGAAAATGAATTCAGTTTTCGACATTTTGAGTTCTGAGGCAACAGTGAACATCCCAGATGAAGATAGTGGAAAGCAAACGAAGTCACAACTAAAGATATAGATATGGGAATCAACAGAACTTAGAACTGGGAGGGACTATTTTGAACATTAGTAAATTGAAGTCCAGTGAAGTGACTTGTCCCCAGTCACACAGCTTGTTAGTGGGAAAACCAAAGTAAAAATCTGGGCCTGCTAATTCTAAAGCTCCCAGTCCTTTTCCACCTTATTATTGCTGCTGATCAGTTTAATGCTAATAATTGAAGACATCAGAGTTGACAAATTCTTTGAGGAGTGATTTTTTTTTAACCAGACCTGTGATTTTATAAGTGTTGTGATTGAAATCAATGTTAACTGAGGCACAAAGCTCCAAGCATGATCAGTTCATAAGCAAAGTGTGAATTTGTCATTAAACAGGGTCTCAGCCTCCTTAACAAGCTAACACCTTAGAACGAGAGTTGACAATCATTTTTATAGACAAAAGAAGCATCCAAAAACTAGAAGGCAGTATCAAAGATAGGGAAAACAATATGATTGGTTGGAAATCAGGAATGCCAAGCTAGCAACACCCCCTCCTTTCCTATTTCTGACTGATTTTGTACACCTGCAAGAATAACTAATGGCATAGAGACAACATATTTCTTCTACTTGTACAAGAACAGCTAGTGGTATAGAGGTAATGGATTTTCTTTTAATTAAAGTGATTTATAAGAAATTTTGTTCAGTCATTTTCAATCATGTCCAACTCTTTGGGACCCCATTTAGGGTTTTCTTGGCAAAGACATGGAGTGGTTTGCCATTTCCTTCTGCACCTCATTTTACAGATGAGGAAACTGAGGTAAACAAGGTTAAGTGATTTGCCCAAGGTCACACAGCTAGTAAGTATCTGAGTCTAGATTTGAACTCTGGAAGATGAGTCTTCCTGACTCCAGGCTTGGCACTCTATCTATTGTGCCACCTAGCTGCCCAATTTATAGGGAAAGTGAACTTAAATTTAACTCAGAAGAAAACTGAACTTCTGAATTCATAAACTTCTGGACTTAACTTAGGGACAAAGAAACTTGACTTAGGCAGCCATACAAAATGTTTAGCAGTGACAGAATAGAATCAATGACAAGATAGAATCCATATGATTTTTTCATAAGTATAAGAAGTTTCTCCTGCCAATGCAAACCAGTTCTTTCTCTATAATGGATAGCTTTAGAGAGCTGTTTGGGGGCACTGAGAGTCATTTACCTAGGATCCCTAGTGAGTATTTGTCAGAAGTGAGACTTGAACTCAGGTCTTCTTGATTCTGAAGGAAGACCTCTATCCACTAGCCCAAGAAAAAAGAAAAGGATTAGGCCAGAGCCTCAAATTACATACACATTTAGGATGCAGCTGTACCTGTTGATTTTGGTATAGAATATGAAAACTCCAGAGCTGGTGGACTTGGTGATTTTAGAACTGATTATCATTTCCTGAAATCATGTGTTTATTTGTTGCCTTAGCTATTGTTAAGTACTGTTAAGGTGTCTCCTGAATTTTTTTTTTGAGTTAACATTTTTTCCTGAAACACTAGACCCAAAGCATGTTGGAGGCCTTGAATGAGTCAAGGACAAAGTGTCTCCCCGCCCCCCTCCCCCGCCCACTGACATAATTTGTTGTTTGCATCTCAAACTGGACACCCTGTGTGTCCTTGGGAATCAATAAGTGCCAGTCAGTCTGGGCTAGGCTGAGAAACTGCTTGTGCATCTGGGACCCTGTAGATAAGCAGATTATCCTACCTTTATAGTCTAGCAGTTCTCAAGAGAAAAGAAAGAGGCTTTTGCCAATGCCCTGCTCTTTTAGGAGGGGTTTTCTCACCTCTACTGCACCTTTCTCCCTCTCATACTACCCCCGTTTTAGGTAGAGATTTGTGTTTCCTCCTCCTTCCTTTGTCCCGTTGTCATAAATATGCAGACTTCTGTATGGATTGTGAACTCTTTGGGTTCCACATGCATGTTCATTTCTCTTGTAATAAACCTAGTTTTCATGTAAGTTTTGTGAGGCTGTGATTGCCTGTTGACACTGTCTGGAATGGTAAGCAGTGCCATCCTGCCACCAATTTTAAAAAAGAAAGGAAGAAAGAAAAAAAACCACAGGGGGAGAAAAAAAAGCCCAGCATAGTGCAGAGTCACTGAAGCAAATAGAAAAGAAGATTTTAGGAAGGAATGGTCAACATTCTTAAATGCCATGGACAGACAAATACCCAGTCTTTGGTTAGCTAGCTGGTACCCCAGTTCCTCTGGGATTGGATAGCTGCCTGGAATCCCAATGTTTAAGCCTGTGTTATCTGCTGACAGACTTCCTTGATGTCAAATGTTTATTTTCTGGGGCTAATTCTTAGTGACCATCTTCAGAATCTTCTTATGTCTTGCTGCCTGTCTGCAGTGGCCTTCTCCCTGAACTGCTTATAGGATTCCACCTATTGGATGTGTATTTTGGGGACCTTCCTTGATTGCCTACTTGTCCCCACAACTCCACAAGCTACTGAAAAAAAAATCAATGACTTTGAGATTAAGAGAAATCATCATAGGGTTCAGAATTCTAGAGTTTATTTAGTCCAACCTCATCATTTTACAGATGAGGCCTTTGAAATGAACCTAGCTGGAAAAGAAAGCAAGAACATTCCAGGGTCTTTTTTTTTTTTTGAGACTAGGTAAAGCTTCAGATGTTCAATGGGAAGAGACTAAAGAGTCTGGAAGAGTAGGCAATAAGTATAGGAGTGAGGTCCTGGAAGGGTTCAGAAAGAATTAGCTTTGATAAAGAAAATTCTTCCTTTAGGATGAAAATTATCTTTTTTTAAAAGACAGTTTCAAAATACAAAGTCATCAGTCAAACATCAAATATATTTCCTATGCAAGTAATCTGGGTATAGCCTACCCTCAGTAATTGAAGAATTGAGGAGAACTGAGGAAGTATTTCTTAACTGAGTTATGTAGGTAAGATATTTATAAAGTGCTTAGCATAATGCCTGGCACTTAATAAATGCTTATTTCCCTCCCTTCCTCTCTTCCTTCCTTCCCCCCAGTTTCTACCTCTATAAATCAGAGATCAGTAATATATTACTATCTGCCAGAGTTATGAGATTCAAATGAAATTATATAGAGAGAGCTTTTGTAATCTTAAAGAGTCACATAACTGTGATGTGTTATTGTTGGTGGAGCTCTTTAGGCATTTTCCTCAAATGATATTTGCAGTGCTAAGCAAAAAAGAAAGCTGGCTTTTTTTTAAAATTGGGACTCCTGCTACTCCAACACAATCAAAATTACTTTTCTTTCAGTATTTATCAAATTCCATTATAAAAGATAATACTAGTACAGTGAAAATTTTGGTATAAAGATTTTTTCAAGTCCTTGACAGAGGCCTTCTAATCAAGAATAGTCTGTGATACAAAAACATTGTGGAACAAGAGAATTTGGCTAATTCTCTTAAATTCTTTGAAATGATACATAATACTAAAACATTTGATATTAATAACCAAGTCAAAGTGTCTTCCTGGGAAAACATCATAATAGCATCATAATTTTAGAGTTGGAAGAGAACCTTGAGGTTACCTAGTCCAACACTACAATATTGCTGCTAATGAAACTTGGTCCTGGAGAGGTTAAGTGATTTACCTAGCAGGGACCAGGAACCTATGTCCTTCCAGGTCCTCTTGCAACCTTTTGACTGAGGCCAAGTTTTACAGAATAAATCCTTTCATTAAGGGGATTTGTTCTTTGAAGTTTGGATTCAGTCAAAGGGTTGCACTTGAGGAACTAGAGGGCCATATGTGGCCTCGAGGACACAGATTCCCCACCCCTCACAGGGTCTCTCAGGTAGTTATGTGTCAGCTGGAAGATTGGAACCCAGTTCTCAGACTTCACATCCAATTTCCCAATGTACCACAGTATAGATAGATCCAAAATTGATTTCTTCTTTGGCTTCTCTTTGGTATTTTTCCCATTCCCCTTATGTTTTAAATCTGGTGATAACGGAATAACAATAATAATAATTAGCATTTATACAGGTTATCCCAAAAATCTTAGTGCAGTTTCAAGTAATTGAAACACTGCATGAAACTTTAAAGTTTGCAAATAAATGTTACCTCATTTGAGCTTCACAGCAGCCGTATTAGGTAGGTGTTGTTATTATCTCCATTGTACAGATGGGTAAACTGAGGCCAAGAGCCGTTAAATGAGTCGCCCAGGGTCACATAACAAGGAACTGTCTGAGTTCAAATTTGAAGTCAGGTCTCTACTTGACTTCGACTCTCTTAACTATGCCTCCTAGTTTCAGGAATTTCAGAAAACAAAACACAAAAAACAAACCTTCTTTTAACGTTTTAATTTTCTTTTGGCGGAGGGATATTTTTTTTGAGGGGTTAGTAAACCAACGAAAAAAAAAAAAGATGAAAGTAACTGCCAACCAACGCCTAAAAGCCCTCACGTGGCTTTTCAGCAAGGCAGTAGCTGGATGCTGGGGAGCCACGGGACCTTATGGAGCCAATGGGAGAGCGCAGAAGGGGCATGCGCGCTGCCCCTGAAGCCCCACCCCTTCCAAGCCCCGCTTCCCACTCCGCCTCGTGGCTGTAGTTGGTGTGGCTCGTAGCTCGGTGGCTGTCTGGTTAGTGTCTGGCCTAAGTGCCTCTGCTCCCCCTCCCCCACTTCTCCTTTCCCTTCTTGACTTTTCCCCCCAACCCCCTTTTTTTGTTTTGTTTTTTACATTTTCAGTGAGGTTCAGTTATGGTTTGTTTTTTTTTTCCCCGTCCCCTGAGGGTTTCTCTTCTTGTAACTCCCGTCAACTGAGAAGAGTGGGGGTTGGGGTGGGGGAGGGGAGGAGGGCAGGAACCCCTGGGGGGTCCGGGGGGTGCTGGAAGGCGCCCTAGCACTGAAAGGGGGGGCAGGGGAGGGGACACCCTGGTTTCATTTGGAGGAATGAATTCCCTCTGTCTGGGGAAGGGAGCAGCCTCATCCTTCATCAGTTGTCTGAAAAGGGGAGGCCTTGGTAAAGAAAATACATTTTATAGCTTCTCAATATACGTAAGTGGGTACTGGCAAGCCGGAGGAAGCTAATAAAAATCCAATAGCCCAATATTACATTTGTATATAGAGTAAATTTTATGGTAAAATTTCCCTCAAATATTTCAAGTTTATTTGCCCAATCAAGCTGTTGATTATACAATTGATTAATAAGTATTAAGGCACTTTCCATATGCCAAGCACTGTTCTAGGTGATGGGGATAGGGCTGAGGTGAATTCAAACCAAAAACATGATACCTTGCCTTAAGGAGTATATAGTTGAGTAGGAGTGGGGCTGGTGAGGTATATATTTACACGTGGAAATAGACACAAAAATAATTATCAAAGAAAGACAAATAATTATCAAAGGTAAGTGGAATGCAAGTTCTTGAGGGCAGTGCCTGTTTATTTTGTTTGTGTTTCACTAGGGCCGTAACAGACTGCCTTGCACATAGTAGGATCTTAAATATATGTTAAATTGAATTATCAAAGTTTTTCATTCTAATTTTACCGTGACTATAACCATTACATATGCACTGTTATGTTAGGAAAGAGATAGTTATGACTTCTTCATTGTTACTTTAGTTTTCTTAGGACTATGAGGTTAGTGTATTTTCTAAGGAAGTTGATTTTCTGCTTGATCTTGGGTGAACTTTGGGGGGAGAAATGGCTAAAAGATACCTTTTTGGTAGGTTAATATTGCCTGTGGAAACATTTGGCAGGCTTTTGCTTGGAGGTTCAGTAATCATTTTAGTTGGCAAAATGGGACAAATTTTGTTTATGCAAATGTTGCTAGGTCTTGTAGGAGAGGTGGTGGAGCTAACATTTTGTTTACTGTGATTTTGAAAACCTGATTCACAGTGAAAAATAAGGCAAAATAAAAGTTTATATATTTTTTCTTTCCCCCCCTTCTCCTAAGCCATTATTATAGAAGCATTAAATTGTAGGAGCACCTTTGAGGCCTTACAGTTTTTCCCAGGAGAAATCTGTGGCTTCCTGGCAAAACAAAGGAAACAAGAGAATACAATCTCTCTCTCTTTCTCTTTCCATAGTATGAGTATTGCAGCCTTTTTCTCTTCTACATACAGATTATTTTGAATCAAACTTGAAGGTATGTATACCTTTCCTTTACTACTCTAGTCTCTGCAGAAGAAAACTGTAGGGGAAAAGCAGGAAGTCCTAAAAATAGAGAAACTAATCTGGCTAGTGCTGGCTTCTAAATTTCAGTTTTTCTTTGTAGTTGATTCATTTTAATCTTTATTTCTCCTAAAAATGATAGGGTTGGGGTGGTAATAAATCACAGAATGTTGATTTTTTAAAATATATATGAATTGCAGTTGCAAGTGTGAGAAATTAGGGGGCTCTTTAAAAGTCTTCAGTGTAAATATAAAGTAAAAGAAAATGAATGTGAAAGAACTTTACTATCCCTGCAGGGACTTAGGAAAATTTTTGTCATTATTTATGTATTTGAGGTAAATTGATTTCCCAAGCATATTTAGTAGAGCAGCTGTTGAGTGATATGATTTGCTTTTGGTCCTAGGTGTAAGCATCTGATAGAATTCCCTGGTTACTGAAAACTTTGTTGTTATTGAAGGTTTTTTTTTTTAAACTTTAAAAGTCTCTAGGAGATATTTATATGAACACTTAAAACTTGGATAGGGAAGCCCACTTAGAGAATTTAGCTAAAGTTATTGATTATCAGCATTATATTGGATTGCTTGGAGTTATTGGTTTGATAAAGGTCTTTTTGTGCTGTTTAAATAACATTTTGGAATGTTTTATTCTAGTTAAAATTGCTTGTACAGGAAGAGATGAGCATTTTTCATTATGGCAACAAATATTTTCAGGGGGTTGTTGAGCAATTTTGTGGGTGGATACATCTGTGTACTTGGTCTCTGAGGGAGCCATCTGCTACAGCTTTAACTTAAATGATATAGTGATCACCTACATCCCTTTGCAAAAACTGCTTTGATGGGATTTGCCACAGTTTTCAAAAATGTCAACCACTTTTCAGTTAGCAAGTGTGGGAACTAGTGATGGTATTAGAGGATAAGAGGAAGATGAATGTAACAAACCTCCTCTGTGACTTTTAGTGAAAACATTTTGACCATCTTAGAGACCATTAATTTAAAATTCTAATTTTAAAAATTAACTTTCAGAGCATTTCCTTGGGGTTACTATGTAGATCTAATTGATATAACCTAATTTATTCCAAGCAATGTAATTCATTGAATACTAGACACTAGTAGAAGCTAACTTTTGGGTTAGAATTTATCCTTGCAACTTCTCTTGTTTGGTTAGATCGTTAACAGCTTCATGCGTGGTCAAAGATCCCTCCTTCTCCACAGTTCTTTGGTATTTACAATTCAATATGCAAATTGTTGAGGAATGTAACCAGGGGACTGGTTCAGGAGTAGCCTCGTAATTTCTCTGCCTTGTCAGCAGCTTTACGATGCTGTGGGTCTAAGCTTGAGTTAGGGAGAAAGAAGACAAGCACTTAAAAAGATAGCATAAGAAAGGAACTCTGTGAAGTATCAGTTCATTCAGAGGTTTTGAACCAAGGTAATTGGGAGAAAGATAGTACTATTGACAAAAATGTTTGGAGGCAAAATTGTTTTGGGAGGATAGCTAAATGCAAAAATGGAAATGTCTGGCAGGAAATTAGAGGTTTTAGACTGGAGCTCAGGTGAGAAATCAGGGCTACAAAAGTACAATTTAAAGTCAGTCCCTTAAAGTTGAAGCCATGAGAGTGAGTTCTGCTCATATTTAGCAGATGAGAAGAAGTGCAGTGAGCAAAGGAGACTGAAGACACTACCTTTCTGGTAGAGAGTCACTAGAAATCTTTGAGAGAGAGGAGTATCAGAGTGGTGTGGGTGGAGGCCAGATTGTAGAAGCTTAAGGAGTGAGTATATGATGTGGAAATAGAGATAGTGAGTCCCAAGCACGCTTTTTGAGAACTAGTGATTAAAAACAAAGGAAAAAAATAGTATGCTAGCTCAAGTTAGTAATATATAAATTATCTCTCTAATATAATGTTACCAAGTTCATAATATTTTAATATGTTACTTTTGTGAAATTTTTTTTTAGTGATCAGAAATGAGTGCACCATCTGAACTTGATAATGAAAAAAACAGTTCCACTCAACATGCAGATTCAAGTTTTCCTGAGAGAGACTGTCAAATTGGACAGAAGCAACTGGTATGAAATTAGAGTTTTATTAGTGTTATACAGGAATTCTTTATCTCATGTAACCTTAACTATAGATTTCTCTTGAATTTAATATATCTGTCATTAAGATTTTAAGCACTTACTGTGTGCCAGGCATTGTGCTAATGAAATGGCAAGCCCACACTTTTTTCTTCTGACAGCTGTAGGCTGCTAGAGATTGCCTTCCTTGCAATCTCTTCCTATCCACATGACTGCAGCAGATCCTGCTACTGCCTCTAATCTAGTTCCTTTCTTCTTTAACCTTAGGAGTCCCTTCCTCAGATAATAGAAGTCCTCCAGTGTCTTGGAGCTTGGCAAGTCCCTATTCCCACTTCCCAGGAGGTGGTGGTGGTAAAAGAAGAGCTTTACCAGGGCTACCTTGTGGGAAGAAAGACAGGCACCGGATGTCCCAAATTGAAATTCTGAGTGTATTTCCTCAAATAAACATTGTTATGTATTTCAGAGCATTATGGAGTTCCAAACTGTAGGTACATTGTGGGTTTAATGAGCTTTTTGTGGCCTGGTTTGAGAACTTAACCCTACTTTGTAACATTATTCCTGTGGGAAAATGGGGTTTGAGTTCTAAAACATTGACTTGAAAACAATCTTTTGGAATATAACTTGTTAGTGATTTAGGAATTTCCTGCATAGTGACGCCAAGTAGCACATAATCTAGGAACATCATTAATTCAGTATTGCTTTGGATTAGAGACAAACTAGATGTTCTAGTCCAGACCTGACTCAGGCCTGTCTGGTGGTACAGGTTTGGGATTGCAATGTAAAGAGACACTTGTAGGCCATTTTTTTCTTCCTTAACGAAAAGGAAGTTTACTTAGCAGAAGCATAGAAAGGATGTTCATCAAGGATGCAACATTGATTCAGTTGGGCATAGCTTCCTTGCCTTGGCGTTTGCTATGGTGGCTTGCAGGTCAGAAGCCTGTGTTGAGTCTAAGAAAAAAGCCACTGACTCCCGTGCTGGATTTTGTACTCAGGCAATCAGGAAACTATATTGGTGGTTCAAGCTTCAGTCCTCTGTACTAATTAAATCTCTGTGATAGTTTCAGTTCCTTTTAAGGAAAAACTGGCCTCTCCTGTAGGAGGTGTGCTACATTTAAGTACACTGAAGCATCAGAAACAAAACACTTTAGGTGATATCATTTAGGGAGATTAGCTAGATGTATTCCAAGATTCCTTTTAGTTTTGATTCTTTGATTTTATACAATATAATATTGGAACTGAAATAAAACTTTTAATTTCTAGTCCAGTGCAATAAAATGCTTTCTAAAATATTTATATATTCGTGTTTTTTAAAATAATGATCTCATATATTTTTAGAGTACTATACTATAGAGTACTATATACAGTACACTGATGTGATTTTAAAAAGTAATGTTTGTGACTTTAGTGGCCGTATCTACAAGTAGACCAGATTTAGACATTATGGTAGTCATAAGTTTTTTTTTAAGCCAGAGCAAAAAGAAACCTAATTAGTTTTAGACTGAGTTACTATAACAAGCCGTATTTTAATGGTGTGTATGATTTTATTCCCAATTTATTTAATGAATATCCCTTGTTAGTTTCTCTTCTATTGAAGATAAAGGTCAAACTAAATTTTGTTGTGCTTAGTTTGATATTCTTTCTTAATATTCCTCAAAATAGCATTCTTTCTACTTCAGTGTTTAAAATAGTCTTACAAATACTTGGATTTCTTTTCCTTTGTTAATATGTAACTTAAAAGCTAAAAATCCAATAATCTTTACCTGAGCAATGGTTTTAGTTTGATCAAATGACCAGTTTAAGTGACAATTTTCTTGTTTTCTGAGTCGTGTAGAGTAAATCCTTTAAGTTTGTCCATCATTTGAGTTGTATTCTGTGGGTCCATATACTTCAAATCCACATCAATTTTTGATAAGGGTGGTGCTGGTTGGATAAAATAGGCAGGCTATAAAACCTTTCTAGGATTGGGGGTGGGGTGATAGATTTTGAGTTCTCTATTGTGAATACCTTGCCCACTGAGGTACTTTACTGCCAGCTTACAGTTTATATAATGTTTGATTAGTGCTTAGACATCTGATAATGGTTCAGCTATATATTTGGACTATTTTCACCTCGAGGTTAGTGAGAATTCTAAAACCTAGCTGTGAATTCTGGGAATTGTAGCCCCAGAGAAACTTCTTTTGCCTTGTGAGAAAATGATACTATTGCCGTTTCAAAGGCAGGGCTGGACTTTCTGCCATACCTGGAGTTTTTCCTGCTGTAAGAGAGGAGAGCAGATGGCAGCCAAGGAGGGGAAGTCTGCCACTGGCTCCAATTCATGATGGTTTCCCTCCCTCCCCTGTTGGGAGGAGAACCATCTGTCTATGACTACAATTCCAAGAATTCACAGTTTTGTTTTTAGACCTTTTCCTGTTCCACAGGGACATCAGTCCAAACACCTGGTTATATTTGGAAACATATACTGCTCTACTACCTATTATAGGCACCTGATGTTGAGCCCTGGTTCATATTTGATCCTTTCAACAAGCATGAAGTGCCTACTGTGGGCCAGGCTCTATTTTAGGTAGTGGGGCCACAAAGACAAAAACAAACCAGTCCTTGTCTTCCAGGACATTACAGTAAGGGGGAAACAACGTGAATGTAGAAAATTAAGTGCAAAATATGCGCAAAATTATTTGTGGGGAGCCACTAGCCATTGAGGGGGTCAAGAAAGACTTCTGCTGGAGTAGGTGGCACTTGACCTGAGCTCTGAAGGAAGCCAGGGGATTGATTCTAAGAGGAAGAAGTGAGGAGGCTCAGGGAACCGATAGCCTGTGCAAAAAACAATGGAGACAGAAGATGAAAGATCAAGTGTAGGCAGCATGGTGTAGTGCTGGACTTCATGTCAGGAAGACCAGGTTTCAGATCATGTTTCAAGAACTTACTAGCTGTGTGTCACTTCACCTCTCTGTGCCTCAGTTTCCTTATCTGTAAAATAAGGGAGGTTGGGCATTAGCTTTAAATCTAAGATCCTGTGATAAGTAGGACAGTTTGGTTTGAAGTAGAGTGCATGATGAGGAATAATGTGTAATCAGCATTGAAAGATAGGCTGAAATAAGATTGTGAAGGGCTTTAAATGTGGAACAAAAGAGTATGTATTGATTTTGGAGGCAATAGGAGCCATTGGAGTTTTTTGAGCAGAGAAGTGACATGGTCACACCTATGCTTTAAGAATATTAATTTGCTATCTGTGTGGAGGATGAATTGGAGCAGGGGTGAAATTGGATGTTGGGAGACCAATTAGAAGACTATTGCAACAGTCCAGGTGAGAGTGGTGAGGCCTTGAACTAGGCTGTGTAAGTGAAGAGAAAGGGATAAATGTAAGAGATACTGTGGAGGTTAGCAGTTCTTGTTTACAGCATAAGGATTTTTTCTTCTGTCATGGGAGTATTTAGCTACATTAAGACCTTTTAAAAATAAAAAAAAGTACATAGAGTTCAAAGGTCTTAAGAGTTTATGTATTTCTAACAATGACAAGAATTAACTTCTTGAAAAATTGAAACACTCTTTGGAGTTTGGTATATAAAACATCTATATATTTCATGCCATTATGGAGTTTGGTATATAAAACAACTATATATTTCATGCCATTATGCCAATATGAATAATACAATTTGAGCAAAAATAAAACAATATGAAACTATAAAGCTGTAGTTACTAACAAGTCTTATTTGTTTTATAGCAACAAATAGAGCGACAATTAAAATCCTTAGCATTTCAAAACCCAGGACCTCAGGTTGCAGACTTCAATCCTGAAACCAGAGAGCAGAAAAAGAAGGCCCACATGTCAAAGATGAATGAGTATTTTTCTGTGAACAAGTAAGATAATAATTTACTATATAAGAATAGGGGATTGTGGAATGAGTTTCCTTTACATAAGATTTGTAATTTGGGAGTTTTTTTGGTTTGTGATTTATGAAAAAAGCTTTTTAAAATTACATTAGTACCCCATTTATCCGGAGGTCAGGCTTGTGGAATCCTCAATCATCTGGAATACAGCCAAGAAGCAGGAAGTTAGTAAAAAAAGGTCTTTGAGCCTTTGTAATGCAGTAATACCTCTATTAAAGGAACTGTGTTACAATTACATATTTTGTGGTTAGAAACTTCATTATCAGAGATGATATAGAGAAGGCCTAGCATCGGGAGGAAGAATAGCTTTCTGGTGTATGTTCTATAGGGCAAGGAAGGCTCTAGAGTCTGGAAGAAGGTGATGGTGAAGAAAGAAAAGCATCTCTGCCCCTAGCCACTCCCAAGAATAGCCTTCCTCTGGGGTAGCACAGAATTGCTTCTTGTCCTTTTGGCTAAGATCAAGTAGAACATGTGTTTAATGTGTTTAAATCTTCTGGCTTTGCCCAGGTATTGGACATCTTTAAGATCCCTTCCAGCTGTTAAAAAAGAGTATACAGGAAGTGGAGTTTGAGTTCTGAAGATTTCTCTTCTGCCTCCCCTCTCTCCAGTTGAATAGTATGATTTTTGGGGATCTCTTTTCTTCGCCTGTTTCTTATGCATTTGCATAAAATAACCTTATATACTTATTGATACCTGAAATTCCTTAACGAGGGGATAGAACATTTTATTTCACAATTAAAGAAATATGATGGTTAAGTTAACAATACTGGTTACTATTGACAGACTTATTCATAACAAAGTAAGAGTCAGTCAATAAGCTAAATACTGCTGTCAGGTCTTTACCTATTTTAAGGGGAAAGAGATGAAGAAAGGAGGAAAGCATTAGGCACTGTAAGTAGAGGGGAGGTAGAGGCCTTACCACTTAGAAGAGAGTACTCCAGACAAAGGAGGAACTAGACAGTTTTGCTAAAGTCCATTTCTATTTTTGACCAATGTGGAATGAGCAAATACAGGTTTTATAGAGGTACTTTTGTTATGCTGATATAAGGCATATCATCTTCACAATATTAATGAAGTTTTTTCAAATAAGGAATTATTTTTATGAAAGCTTTCTCTGTTAATAGAAGTATCATGAGCTATTACAAATCCAATGCACTAAAGCTCTTATACTCTGTACGAAAATACAGTGCTATTTATATACAATTCTAACAGTCTTGGCTTTCTGATTTCTCAGACCACAACATATTAAAAGCAATTTAAAAAGCTGAGGATTACAAGAGTCAGATGATCTTGACAGCAGAAGTGATGCCCAACATCAGGAGAGGTCATAGAAAAAACTGTCATATTACATCTTTGCATGATAATTTATATTCCTGAATCATCAAGAAAGGGCTTAATTAAGTTTAATATCCATTATTTTAGAAAATAGGTATGTGTATAATGCGTTTTAGAAAGATTTCCATCCAAATCTTTTTTTTTAAATTGGAAATTGAAGGTGTAAATTTAAGCTATCTTTTTGAATAATTCCCTTAAATGGAACACCTAGTTCTTCAACAGTGCCGGATAAATGAGGTGTTACTGTATGTGACTAATTGAGTAAGTTATTTTCTTTCTTGTTGATAGTTCAAGTTGATTTGGATTTTCTTTGGTATCACTGTTAAATTGTATACAGAAATTTTGTTATGTTTAACCACAATGCTATTAGCACAGTGTGAAGAGAATTTTTAAAAATGAAGTTTACCTAGAGATAACTCACTTTAAATATTGAAAACAAAGTGAACTATATTCATGATTTTCCTTGCAGAGTGATGAAGAAATATGACAAGAATGGCCGGCTGATTTGTAATGGTGTAGACTTATGTGACTGCCTGGAGAAGAACTGCTTAGGTTGCTTCTATCCATGTCCCAAATGTAACTCAAACAAATGTGGACCAGAGTGCCGCTGTAATAGAAAATGGGTCTATGATGATATTGTAACTGAGACTGGTGATGTTATTAGCACAGTGCCATTTTTTGTTCCTGACTGAGGCCTTTGTGAGAAGATTTGTGCTTAATAGGAAGTTATTGCCTCAACTCTTTTCATTTTGTCTTTCCAAAATGTCTGATTAATATGAAAAAAATAATTTCATTGTGGTGAACGATCAAAAAAGCACCTCTCCTTAGATGTGCTAATTCAGGTTTTCCTCAGTTACAGTTTTCTAAACTTTAAGATGTTCCAAACGCCAAAAAGAAAACATTTTCTTACGCATAATGGAATGGAATAATTTAATTTCTTTCTCATTTTCTTTATAGTTTTGTTTGTCACGAGGTCCAGTGCAGAAATTGTCTTGAGATTTAAAAATTTGCATATTATTTGGACTATTTTCCATAAACAAAAATTTATCTTTTATTCAAATAGAATAAGAAGTAGTAACTCTTAGTTTCTAAAGCCAAAAGCCCAATGGCTTTCACTTTGCAACTACTACTTGAAAGTGAAAACAAAAAACAAAACCAAGAAAATGTGAGTTGTGTTTTAAAAGCATGTTTTATATGTTTCAAGCTATATAGTATATTAATAAGTAGTTTCTTGTAAGACATAGTATGTAACTAAGGACTTGACTGAAATACTTTTTTTTCCCTCGTGCTGTTGAGGGTATTGTGGAAATTTTTCTGAGTTTCTTTTGTCTTTTAGATATCACCATCTTCTGTGTGTTCTGAGTTACAGTAAAGTTAAGGTTATGAGGAATAGGAATAGAGTGATTAGATAGAAGTTATTAAAGTCATAATATTTAGACTAAATAAATTATACTTCTATGATGTGTGTGCTGTTTGTAGTTTTTTTTCCCCCCTGCATGAAGAGGTTCTGAAACTTTACTTTCTGTCTAACCAGTGTGAACCAGGGCAGCTGCCTGAAGCTTCATGACATTTTATAACTTTTAACCGTATTACTTTGTAAAGTAACACCATATTCATAGCAATAATTCCATGCCTACCAAGTTGTTGCAGGATGAGTAGCTAATGCAGAGGCTTGTGTTGCTTTTTCATTGCTTGGTTCTTCAGGGTTCAATGTGATTTGTTGTAGATTGCTGTATTTAAAAGAAGGAAGAAAAATGCAAAGGTGTCAAAGCCAGACCCTTTAAGGTGTTCATTGGTAATATACAGATTTGTAATAGGTGAAAATCATTATTAAAAGTAACTCCAGGGAGTATGTAATGTAGAATCATAGGATTTTAGAACTAGAAGCATTTTTCAAAACGATCTGCTTTCATTCACTCATTTTACAGACAATGAAACGGGTACAGAAAGATGAAGCAGCTTTCTTAAGGTCGTAAAGCTAATTCATGGTCGAATGCAGAATACTAGAATGAAGGCTCCTGGCTCCCAGTTGAATGCTTTTCCACTATACTATTAGTTGTACTCTTTCCATATCTGGAAAAAATAGATTTCAAATAAGTAAAATTTTTAAAAACCCTCCCTCTTCTCACCTCTTGTCATTGAAAATGACCTTTGTGCTTTTTTTAGGTGAAGAATATAGTACACTTTTATTTTACTTTCCAAAGAGCAAAATTTAAGCAAATAGAATATGTACTATTACGTGCACATATTTTATACCTTTTTTTTAATATAGAAACGTAGGTAAGGTGCTGAAAAAACATTTCCGGGGGAAAGAGATGCAGTTCCTTTTATTGAAGATTTTCCCTTCTGGAGTCAAACTTGATTCAGTGCATTAAGTTTCAGGTACAGGGGCAGCTAGGTGGTGCAGTGCATAGAGCTCCGGCCTTGGAGTCAGGAGGACCTGAGTTCAAATCCAGCCTCAGACCCTTGACACTTAGCTGTGACCCCCCCCCCAAAAAGTTTCAAGTATGAAGTAAATATTAAGAAAACGATTTATATAAATTGAGAGACTTCTTTTGCAAGCCTGTGGTTCTTGTTAGATAAAGTGGAAAAAAATCTGACTGTGAATAAAACACTTAGGTTATTTGCACTATATTCAGATTAACAAGAACTCCAGTGATATTATCTGATTACATTAACTGAGGAAATTAGGCTGTCAGTATAATCTCTAATTGATTTTTTCCCCTCTGCTACTTGGCTATCTTTCAAGACTGTTAGTGTGTCTCATGAATATGTATAAAAGTATCTAGGAGTTTTATTAAGTGTCAGAATCAAAACTCTAGGAACACATGATGTGGTTTAGACCTGTGTATGCTACTGTGCTGGTATAAGTATATGCTCATATGTGCCCATTTCACAGCTCTAACTAGGAGCCTCAGGAGCTTAACCATTGCAGCTTTGTCTCAAGGGATGAAGTTTAGAGGGTGCCAAGTAATACCACCTGACAATGCTTCAACAATATAGAAAAACCTCTGAGTAATCCAGGGAATACTTCCTTCCAGGAGGGCTTAGTCCTTCTGCAGCATAGAACCTTGTGGTGCCCTGGGACACCTTCCCTGGGGCCATGATCCAAGGGAACTTTGCTATTTCCTCTTTCTCCAGTAGTTATAATTCCACTGCACTCTACTAGGTATAATTCTGGTACATGTGAGTTCATGCTAATTTCCAACCCAGGAAGGTCATATCACAAGCCACATAAGCTTTAGTGATAAGCTTTTCCAATTTAATATTGAACAATTGAATTTCCTGATCTGTTAAATGAGGTGGTTGTTCCTCAAATTCTCAGCATTAGAAAAATAAAATGTTTGAAGAGGCAGCATGGTGGAGTGGAACAAAGGATGGATTAGTGTCATAGGAACTTGGTTTTTAAATCCTTGCTTTGTTATTTATTATCTTTATGTTAAGCAAATTACTTAATCTTCCTGGGCCTAACTTTCCTCATTAGTAAAGTGAAAGGATTGAACTAGATCAGGGCTTCTTAAACTTTTTCCACTCATGACCCCTTTTCCCATTTTGGCAGAGTTCATTGGCGTTGTGTGGCCTGAAGGGCATGGCCAGTGCAAAGTGTGAATGCTTTGTGTTCAGAGCCAAGGCTGCGGTGAGGTTGTGTAATGCAGCATGGACAAGTGCTGCCAGAAACACCTCGGATTCATTTCATGTTTGATTTTGAATTAATTTTTGGTCATTGTGCATTCAGAAACCTTTTACTTTGCCAATTTTTTCGAGATCCCATATGGGATCTCCACCCACAGTTTAAGAAGTACTGATTAAACTCTAAATCTATGATCCTGTGAGCCATTATGATTTATTTATACTATCTTCTTTTATTAGCTATAACAAATTGCTGCATTTTAAAAAAATAAAACCTTAAGCTTAGGAAAGTTTCTGTAGTATTGTGCAAGAGCAATGGCTTGGGAGTCATGAATCCTTAGTTTAAGAATTCATGTCCCTGCTCTGTCACTAACTTGTTGTATGACTTTGGCCAATTCACTACACATCTCTGGATTTCAGTTTCTTCATTTGTAAAACAACTGGGGTAGATTAAATCACCTCAAAATTCCCCTCTTACTTGAAAGTTCTGGGATCTCATGCAGATGCAGAACTTTGAATCTGTCTGTGGAGAAATTGACTTCATTTTTCTAATTACTATCTATTACATTTTTACAACATAAACGCTCTTGAAATGCTACTGAGTTTGTGGAAACACTAAATTATAATGCTAGAATGGCTTTACCAGTATTTACATAAAGGTTCTATTCACTTTAACTTTTAATGTATACAATTTCCTCTTGACAAGTTTAATAGCACAAAATGCCACCCTTTCCACTTCAGCACTGAAACAGGAACATTAAAGAGAAAAATTGACATGATTGCTTCAATAATTGAAGCTATTTTCATGATTCTAAAGTTGGTTTTGATGAGGAAGATATCCCTTGTGTGAATTTTAAGTTTTTTAGTATCTGGCTATCTAGGCAGTAGCTACTGTCCTGTATACTGGAAATCAGATTGGGAGAAAGATGGTTATCCTTAACTATACTTTGTCTATCTGCATATTTTTTGCTTCTGCCACCACCATTCTTTGTTCTGTAGTCATAAAAATTGTTGTGGTTCAGTCATTTTTCAGTCATGTTCAGGTATTTTTCAGTCAGGACTAACTCTTCATGACTCCATTTTGGGTTTTCTTGGCAAAGATACTGGAATGGTTTGCCACTTCATTCTCCAGCTCATTTTACAGATGAGGAAACTGAGGCAAACAGGGTTAAGTGACTTGCCTAGGAGCAGCTAGGTGGTGCAGTGGATAGAGCACCGGCCCTGTAGTCTGAAGGACCTGAGTTCAAATGCAGCCTCAGATGCATAACACTCACTAGCTGTGTGACTGGGCAAGTCACTTAACCTCAATTGCCTCACCATAAACAAACCAACAAATAAATAAAGTGACCTGCCCAGTATCTTGAGTCTTCCCGACTCCAGGATTATACCACCTAGCTGCAGTTATAAAATTCTATAACTGGATTTAACTACCTGGCTATGAAGGCAGAAAATAAATTATGATGGCAGTTTAATTGTAGAAGTGTCTAGACTAATTTTTCTAAGGGGTCTAGGGCAAGGAGACAGAGCTGAGATTCATAGAAACTGGCTCTTTTTAATCCCTACTTCCCCACCATAGATTCTGTGAAAATTGTGCCTAGAATCCATCTTGTTGCTAGATCTTTTTAGCCTCACCCACATTGAGTTGGGGATAAAGTCATCCAAATCTTGGTGGTCCTCTGGTTTTATTTTTATATGAAGGTGAGGACCAATATTAAAGGAGGCGGCCTAGGTTCATGTATCTGCTTGTATAAGGAAGCTAGTAGTGGCAGAAATTGGAGTCTATAAAGTGAGAATTTTATGAGACAGGTTTTTTTTTTCCAGAAGAGATTGGGAAAGGCATAATTAGACAGCAGTTTGAAAAAGATTTGGCTATTTTAGTGCATTGCAAGCTCAATAGCAGTCAGTAGTGTGATGTGGCAGCCAGAAAAGCTAATGTAATTTTGGGCTGCATCGAGAGGCATAGCTTCCAGCTCTCTCTGTCCTCTGCCCTGATCAGATCACATCTAGCATATTGTGTTTAGTTCTGGGCATACAGTTTTTAAGAAGGACATTGTTAAGTTAGAGGGTGACCAGGATGGGGATGAGCTTTGAGGCCATCTCAGATCAAGATTGGCTAAAGAAACTGCAGATACTTAGTCTGGAGAGGAAAAGATCTGGGGGAGACTTGTTAGCTGCCTTCAAGAGTTGTTATGCAAAAGAGGGATTAGATATATTTGACTCCAGGTGTTAGCCCCAGGAGCATTGGACAGAAATTGCAGAGTTAAACTGAGGCTTGATATCAGGAAAAACTTTCCAACAGTTAAGGCTCTCCAAAAGTTGAATGAGTTGCCTGAGGTGGTAGTGGTTTCTCTCATTGGAGGTCTCCAGGTGGAGAGTAGATGGCCACCTTTTCTGTATGTTACAGAGGAGATTCTTTTGGGACATGGGTTTGACTAGATGGCCACTGAAAGCTTTTCCAAATTTAAAATTACGCAACTTTGGCGTGTTTAGATTATTTTCTTTTTTTATTACAAACCAAACAAACATTTTATCATCAACAAACATGGACATTTCAACTTACAAAGATTGGAAATCAATCAACATTTACTAATTGCCTACTATGTGCCAGGCATAGAGCTAAGTGCTGGGGATACAAAAAGAGGCAAAAGACAGTCCCTGCCCTCAAGGAGCTTACAGTATAATGAAAGAGATGACATACAAGCAAATATATACAAAGCAAGCCACATTCAGGATAAATATGAACTAATTAACAGAGGGAAGGCACTAGAAAGGGCCTGAGGAAGGCTTCCTACTGTGGGAGATGGGATTTTGGTTGGGACTTAAAAGGGAGCCAGGGAGGTCAGTAGTCAGAACAGAAGAGGGAAAATGTTCCAGGCATGGAGGATAACCAGAGAAAATGCTCGGAGCTGAGAGAATACTGTTCATGGACCAACCAGGATGTCTACGTTACTGGATCGAAGAGTATGTGTCTGAGAGTAAGGTATAAGAAGATTCTATATGAAACTGTGAACTTCTGTTACATAGTTTTTGGTTTTAACATGTATGTTAAATTTCTGAAAGACATCATGGCATAATAGATAGTTGGTCTCAGAGCTAAGGAGACTTAGGTTCAAGTTCTACCTCTGACACATACTGATGTGTGACTGAGCAAGTTATTTGACTTCTCAGTGTCCTGGCAGCTCTGTAAATTGCAGAGAAGGTGCTGACTAGAATTGTTAGAGCGAATTTCTTTATCTGGGCATTCCCTATAACAATGAATCACAGGTCCAGTCCTCCCTATCTTAAATTTAATCTGGTAGTAACAAAACTGCCCAGCTTGTCTGGGTCCCTTTAATGAACTTTCTTCTGCTTTCTTTTGTGTAGTTTTAAAAATGTCTCACCAAAGCTTTTCTTTTTCTTCACATTTTGTTACTACTTACCAGCTCTTACTACTTACCAGCTCGTCCTTCCCCCTAAGTAGAAGCCCTCCCTTGTAATAAGTGTAGTCAAACAAACAAACAAAACACATCAACACAATGGAGCTATCTGAAAACGCAGGTCTTATTCTGTACTTCCAGACCATCATACTGCTGCCAAGAAATGGGAAGTATCCATCAGTTTTCTGTAGTCATAATTGGTCAACACATTGATCAGAGTTCTGAAGTCTTTCAAAGCTATTTTCTATTACAGTGCTGTGGCAATTGTAGAAATTGTACTTCCTGGTTCTTATCACTTCATTCTGCATCAGCTCACATAAGCCTCTGTTTTTCTGAATGTGTTAAATTCATAATTTTTATGACATACTAATATTCAATTACATTAATCTACCAAAATTTGCTCAGCCATTCCCCAATCGATAACCCACTTTGTTTCTAGTTCATTGTTACAACAAAAAAGCTCTGCTGTAAATATTTTTGTATATGAGTCTTTTTTTAACTCTTTGAATATACCTAATAGTATTGCTGGGTCTTTGGATATGCTCAGTTTAGTGACAGAATTTTTTTGGACTACTTCCTGATGTTTCTTTATTTTCTTAACTTACCCTAATAATCTTGGCTTCCAATATTATCATTCCACCAAAACTGCTCTCTCCAAAGTTACTAATGATCTCTTAGTTGCTAAATCCAGTGGCCTTTTCTCAATCCTCATTCTCCTTATCTTTGACACTGGTGATCACTCTCTCTGATACTGTCTTCTCTCTAGATTTTTGAGACACCAGCTTCTGCTTCTCTTCCAACCTCTCTGTGCCTTCTCTTTCTCCTTTGTGGCATCCTCCAAATCATGCTCAGGGTTCTGTCCTGGGCCCTTTCTTCCTCTATACTACTTCACTTGGAGCTTCCATAGATTTAATTACCATCTCTATTCTGATGATTCAAAAATCTACTTATCCTGCCCCCAACCTCTCTGTTGACCTTCAGTCTCTCATCTCCAACTGCGTTTCAGACATCTTGAACTCAATATGTCGAAAATAGAAGTCATTATCTTTCCACTAAGGCTTTCCCTCCCTCCTACCTTCCTTAACTGTAGAGGAGATCACCATCCTCCCAGTCCCTCAGGCTTACAACCTAGGAGTCATCCTGGATTTCTTACTATCTCTCACTCTCCATATCCAGTCTATTGCAAAAGCCTGTCCATTTCACCTTTGCAACATATTTCATATATGGTCCCTTCTCTGACTTGTCATTACCCGGGTGCAGGTCCTCATCACCTCACACCTGGACCATTCCAACAGCTTGCTAGTGCCTCTGCCTGCCTCAAGTCTTTCCTCCTTCTGATCCATTCTGCATTTTCAGCTACTAAACCTATTTTCGTAAAGCGCAAGTCGGATCATGTCACCCCCTCCCCCCCAAAAAACCAAACAAACCCCAAACTCAAAACAAAACTCCAGTGGCTTCCTATAGTCTGCAGGAACAGATACAAAATGCTCCGTTTGGTATTCAAGGCCTTTCATAACTTACTTTCCTTCCTATCTTTTCAGTTTTCTTAAATCTTATTTTTCAACATATACTCCTCGATCCAGTGACCCTGGCCTCCTTGCTGATCCACGAATAAAGCACATCCCCAGCTCCGACATTTTCTCCCCACGCCTAGAATTCTCTTCCTCTTCCCCTCGGACTACTGACCTCCCTGGCTCCCTTTAAATGCCACCTTCTACAGGAAGCCTTCCACAAGTTCTCTTAATTCCGGTGGCTTCCCTCGTGTTTATTTCCTATTTTTCCGGCTTTGTATTTGTTTGCTTGCATGTTGTCTTCTCGTTAGATTGTAATCTCCTTGAGGGCTGAGACCGTCTTTTGCCTAGTTTTGTGTCATCTTCGCTTAGCACAGTGCGTGGAGCACAGGTGGTTATTAAATGCTGGTTGACTTGACCACTCAGGTCCTACTCAGACCTGGGGTCAGGATTGGAGGTTGAGCAAGAGGCATACTTTTCGTAGTCCCCAAGACTAACCTCCATAATCAGATTCTCTTTCTACGTGGGATAAAACGATCTGGCCAAGTTCCGGGAATTTCACTACCTGGCCTCCAGGTGATAGATTTTTGACCTGAGATAACTTAGGCTACCCCCACTCTTCACCCAAAGTCGGAAAGGCGGGGGGGAGAGAGCAGCAGCCAATCGGCTGCTCAAAGCTGAGGCAGCGGACCCGCCTTGCAGAGCTCCCGGAACAAGGCCGACCAATCCTCGCGGTCCGATTCCCAGAGGAAGGCGGGGATTGGTTCTGCCTGCGTCCCGTCTCTGGCTCTCTATTGGCCTGGCAAGAAGCAGCTGACGGAAGGTGGCGGCCGAGCGTCTGAGTAGAGGGGGAGGATGGCTGCCCCGGCGGGGACCCAACTGATTCTCCCCGAGACTCACAGGTAGCCTGGGTACCTGTGCTCTCTGCCGGCTGGGCTGGGAGAATGAGGAGGGCTGAAGGGGGAGGGAGCGGGGGTGGTGAGGGTGGAGTGAGTCCGGGGCCTACGAGGGTGGCTCTGCCAACTTTCCACTCCGTCTCCTGGGGCGCCCCCCAGCGCGCAGCAGGCACGAAGGCGTGAGCAGGAGGCAGCGGGAACAGGGGAATGGGCAGTGGGCAGAGGGAGTGGGCAGTGGGCAGGAGGGAGTGGTCAGCGGGTACGGGGGAATGGGCAGTGGGGAGCGGGCATCAGGCAGCGGGCACGAAGGCGTGGGTAGGAGGCAGTGGGCACGCGGGAGTGGGCAGCGGGCACCGGGGAGTGGGCATAGGGGAGCACGCAGTGCAGCCACCTCGGGCTGGGCTTGTGGTGAGTGGAAGGAAGAGCCTGGGGTAGACGTGCGCTGCCGTCTGTCAAGTCAGGAGGAGGTGAGAAGATTGTGTTCTGAGAGGGCGGATCTCTTCTGTTGCCCCACTTTGGCACCCTCATGCACTCGCTGCCAGTGCCAGGGGCTTCGGCTTCGCCTTTCTGCTCTCCATTTACCCTCCCCCCACACCCACCTTCTCGCCCTCATCTCTCAGCCCACACACTTGTACCTCCTCTGCCTTGATGAATGAATGAATTAAAAACCACTTATGAAGTGCTTACCATGTGCCAGGTGTTATGCTTGGAACCAGCTGGGTGAGGTAGTGGATAAAATGCCAGACTTGGAGTCTGAACACCTGAGTGCGAATCCTGTCTGACATTTATTAGCTGTGTGACCCAGGGCAAGTCATTTGACCTTTCTGTCTCTCTCATCTGTAAAATGAGAATGGTAATAGTATCTACCTTCCAGGCTTGTTGTGAGGATCAAATGAAATTGTAAAACACTTAGACCAGTGTATAGTAAAAATCACTATATATCACATAGTAGGTGATATATAAATGCTATCTATCTATCTATCTATCTATCTATCTATCTATCTATCTATCTATCTGTCTGTCTGTCTGTCTGTCTGTCTGTCTGTCTATCTATCTATCTACCAACTTATCTCATCTTACTAGATTCAGCCCAGTGCTCTGCTGTTCAGGATAAAATGAGTTAACATATATAAAGAACTTTGCAAACCTTAAAATACTATTTAAATGCTAGCAAATATTGTTACTATTTATTATTATTGTTATAATTAATGCTAGGGATTAGACTATAGCAAGACATCCCCTGCCTTTAGTGAGCTTAACATTCATATAGGGTAGGGGTTCTTTACTTGCGATCTGTTAGCTTGTTTTTAAACAAAATTATTGTGATAACTAATTCAATATATAAGGTTTCCTTTGTCATTTTATGTATTTTACTTTGTTGTATTTATTGTAACATATTGTTGATATATTATTTTGTTATATTTATTATAACATTATTGTTATATTTAGTATATGTTATGTTTATTATAAATATTATTCTGAGTCCGTAGACTTCACCATACTGCCAAATGGGTCCATGACACACACAAAAGGGTTAAGAATCCCTATAATAGGGGAAGACAGTGCATTGAGAGCTGTACTTAGATAACAGCCAACATTCCTGTTTGTTCAAACCCTGTTATCTTACTCTATGACTTCTAAAATCTCTTGCTGTTGTAAATCTGTTATCTTGTGAATACATATAACTAGAGCTGTATAGTGAAGCATGGCATGGAGATGACCAGAAAGTAGCTGTGCTGGGCCTAAGACCTGGAGTAGCTGTAGTGAAAGTTCATCAGTCAGAGTCCCTGGTCTTAATGGTGAGAGTCCTCTAAGCGTCTTGAGGACAAGGACTGCACTTTTTTTTTTTTTGCCAGCACCTTGTACAGTGACATCACATACTGCTCTCTTTACCCAGCATGACTTCAAAATCACTACAATTGAAGCAGGTTTGAAATGCATGGGAATGCTTAGTAACAACAGATGATTTTATTTTGTACAGTTTTTTCAGTAGTTTATTCTTTAGTTCTTTTCTCAGTGCATTTATTATAATCTATTTATTGGAAAGTTTTGTGCTGCTGTCAGTCACTTTGTGTTACATTGTTATTATACTCCTACCCATAAATTTATACCATTACCCAGGCAAAAGTAGTCCAAAGAAAAGAGGGAATTCATCCAACAGGCCTTTTCCATGGAAAGCCCTTTAAGTAGGAGTATTTTTGGAATGTTTCTTTAGTATTATCCTAATGCACACTAATACTAAGTACCTATCTTTAGGGTACCTAGAACATTTGGAAATTATAAAATAGGTCATAGAGCACTGTAACTAATATATTTCCCCTTAAAATTTTTTAAAAAATTAACTTTTTGTTTTTAAATATATGTAGCATGAAAAAAGCAGTGTCTCTGGTTAACGCAGTAGATACTGGAAGATTTCCTCGATTGCTCACCCGAATTCTTCAGAAACTTCACTTGAAGGTTTGTATATTTGCTTTTGTCTAACTTGTAACATTTCCATTATGCTGCACTTTTGATGATATTTTAAATCCAGAGAATTTTTTTACATAGTGGCATTATTCCTCTGGGTAAAAATAGCAAGGTCTTTTGCTTTGTGTGAACCAGTATTTAAAATTCCAATGTAGTTTTTGCTTATTCTGTCCTTTTGTTCCGTGGGTGAAATTGTTTAAGTGGATAGAGTAAATAGAGACTGGAGGTTAGGATTTCAGTACTCTCTGCAGTAGATTCGCTTTGTCTTAATAGTAAAAATATTACTAATTAATGTAAACCATTAGATTTGGCAATAAGAGATCACTGGTAACTGGAGAGAGGCATTTCATTTGAATGACTGAGGTTGGAAGCCAGACTGGAAAGAGTTATGAAGAGAGAGAGGAAAGGAAGTAGAGGTGCAGATGGTAGACAGACTTCTCAAAGAGTTTATCAACCAAAGAGAGGAGAAATTTGAGATGATACCTAATGAGGATAGACAGGTCAAGTGGGAGTGTTTTGAGGATGGAGGAGATATGGGTATGTTACTAGGCAGTAGGGAAGTACCCAGTAGACAGGGAGAGATTGAAGATTAGTGAGAAAATAGGGGTGATAGAGAGGACAGTCTTTTGGAGATAAGATGGAATGGGATCATGTGATATAGAAGGGTTTGCATAGCAAAGGGAAGGGCTACCTTTTCATGTGACAGAGGAATGAGGGAGGGGTTAGTGTTAGAAGGCATCTGAGTGATGTGAGATGAGAAGGAGAGGAAGTCTTGTGAGATGGCTTCAGTTTTTTTCAGTGGAAAGGACAAGATTCTCAGCTGGGAGAATGGGAGTGGTTAGAGGAGGGATGCAAAGCTTTGGAAAAGCTCTTGTGTGAAAGGGATAGTGAATTGATGAGGAGGCATCAAAGGATTGCCTTGCTACAATCAGGGTCCAGTTGAGATTATGTGACATAAACTTGTATTGGATGTAGTTAGCATGGTTATGTGATTTTTTTTTTCCAGCTTTGTTCAGTGTCAGGTGAGTTTGAGTGAAAGTAGCAGATGGTAGGAGTAATCCAAGGAGGTTTGGCAAGCCAAAATCAGTGATAGGACAAGGGAACAAAGGACTCAAGAAAACAGAACAGTATGGTTGAAGTTGTTCACAAAGATGTTGAGATGGGGAAGCTAGGAGAGTAGCCAATGCAGGGATGATGGCCTGGGAAAGAATTGAGGGGGTTGGGGGTTTGGAATTTGCCGGGAAGATGAAGGACAGGGTTAGGAGATGTAAGGTAGAGGGAGGGGTGAGATGATAACAGATTGTGATCAGATAAGGGAATTTCAGAGTTCATGAATATGGAACATTTTTGGGTATTGGCAAGATCAGGGGTATGATTATCTCTGTGTAGATGAGATGGGAGGAATAGCTCATGGAAAATGAGCAAGTTGAAGTTTTTGGAGGTAAGAGTGTTTGAAGAAACACTGGTATATATGTTGAAGTCTTCAAGTGTGAAAGGAAGAGTTTGGGAATTAGCTACTGAACGCATTGAGGAAAGAGGAATAGTGTTGTGGAGGTCTGTAGATAACAACTACCAGAATCTTGGTTGGGTAGTAAATGTGTATTGAGTGAACCTCAAAAGAGGAGAGGTTATTGAAGTGATGCAGGTAGAGGGAGAGCCTGGAAAGGACAGTGGCCAACTCCCCCATTTCAACTAGTGAGTAGGGGTATGAATGCAACCACTGGTGGAAAGGATTGCTGTGGAAGCTTTACCTACCACCAACCCCCTTCAAACCTCCCCTCTCCCCCCTGATAGAAGAGATCCAGGTATCAGTGAGAACAAGAAGATAGAAGGAGTTGGAAAGGAGAAGGTTTAAGATAAAAGCAAGTTTGTTACCTATGGAACACTTTAAATTTGAAGGTATAGTGTGTGAAGGCATATGAGATAAAGCTGTGAAAAGAGACTGGAGCCCGGTTGTGAAAAATGTTGAATGCCAGGCTAAGGAGTTGAAACTTTTTAGAGAGCAGTGGGGAAACCATTGCAGTTTTTTTCATTTGGAGGGTTATATGATCATAAGTATTTTGGAAGATTAAACTGGAACAGGGATGTGTGATGAGTTAGAGTGAGGAAAGACCAGGTACCAGAACACAAGTTAGTTGGGTATTGTCAGAGTTCAGGTAAGAAGTAATGAGGGACCAAACTGGAGTGGTAGTAGTGAGTATCAGTAAGAATGAAGAATGGTGTGGTGGGTAGCATAGATATGATTGGATTTGAGGGATTGGGGAAAGGGAAGAATCAAAGCTGATGTTTTTGAATGTGGGTGATTTGGAGAAGGATCAATAGAAATGCAAGTTAAGAGGAAGAGTAGGTTTTGGAGAAAGATGATGAAATTGGAAGATTGATGGATGTGGTTGTAGACATGTTGACCTTCAGGTGCCAGGAGATTTCCAGCTGGCATTTGGAAATTTGGGTCTATAGCTGAAACAGAAGTTGAGGCTGGAAGTACTGATTTGTGAATCATCTATATAGAGGTTATTGTTGAAATTTTGAAAGTAAATGAGAAGATCACTAAGGAAAGAATGAAGAGAGACAAAAAAGAGAAAAAGGAGGGAGAGGAACAATTCTGGAGTGGAAGGAGGAAGAACAGGCCACGCTTTATTTTAAGAATATATAAATACATTAGATAAGCCTATTTTGATTGATGCTGTTATGGTATGACCAAACACTGCTGTAAAGTCACAAAATTCTGCCTAAAGATTTATGATTGTCTATTTATAACACTTTTCCTATGGAGTTAACTGTCCTTTGGAATTTCATTTTTGTGGGGCCACCTAATGTTGTTAGACTGGAAATGCTTTTGCTTACTGAATTCTGTGCGAGTAACAGAGGAGATAAGACCTTCAGTCCTTCCTTTCCTTCCCCCACCCCCAGTCTCTTCAGTTAAAGCAGTGAAATTATCCCAAATAGTTTTACTTTAGTAGATATCCTTGTGCACAGCTTGAAGAATGGGGGTTTCTTATTTAATGTATTAACACGATTATTTTGTATTTTAAACATGATTTAAATTGACGTGGTACATGTGGAAAGGTTATTTTTTAGAAGCTAAGTTTTAGAGCCATCCCATACTAGTTGTTGTGTTCCTGGGCAAGTCATAAAACATCTTTGTGTCTTGGTTTTCTCATCTGTAAATGAGGATTAAAGCTTTTTTTGTATTTTGGACTGTTGTGACATGGGACCTTTCTATTAGGGAGTGATATCTTCAGACTAATGGGATTCTTTTGAAAAGGCCAGAAAAAACAGTAGCCCTCACATGTTGTTAACTGTCTCAGTGTCACTGCATCAGCCAGACTAGTCAGGATGTCTTATGTACTACTGCTCATTAGAAAACTTCAGACTTTATATTGTAGGTGGAAAATAAGAGTAGGATTATGATTACAAAGTATTCTTTTTATTGATCCCTACCTGTGTGGAGTAACTTTTTCTTCCCAGTTTGCACTTTATTTCTAAAAGGCTTTCTTATCAAAGTAGATGGATCTTTTGAAGGCTAGAGACTTGAATTTTTGATTGAATGCTAATAAATTTCTATATATGTTGCAGACTGAGAACAGTTTCAGTGAAGAGGAAGAAGAAAAACTCCAAGCTGCATTTTCATTAGAGAAACAAGATCTTCACCTGGTTCTTGAAACAATATCATTCATTTTGGAGCAGGTACTTTCATTGTCCAAAATTGTTTATAAAACACATGAGTTGTTTAAGGCAAGATAGATGTATAAGTTGTAATTGATAATATCTTTACTGAAAATTATATTTGTAAGGAAGAGGCCTAATTACCATATTAATTAAGGTACCTACCCGTCACATGGAGCTCCTAGGATGGCTACTCCAGGTTCAAGGTATTTTATGGATCCAAATCTACATGAAATTATAGCTCACAAGCCCTTACTAATGTCTACCTTTTCTATAGTAAGCTAAACTTCACAGTTAGTTTATTTTTTTTTCCCAATGGCTTAACACTTTTCTCCAATTGCATGTAAAACCAATTTGTAACATTTGTTTTTCTAAAATTTGTAGCTCCAAATTCTCTCTCTTCCTCTTTCCAATCATTCTCTTGTCTTCTTCTCCCCCTGCCTCCATTGAGAAGGCAAGCAATTTGATATAGGTTATACATGTGCAGTTATGCAAAACATATTTCCATGTTAGTTATGTTGTAAAATAAAACAGACCAAAAAAACCCTAAGAAAAATAAAGTAAAGAAAAAGTATGCTTTGATATTCCTTCAGATTTCATCAGTTATTTCTCTGGAGATGGATAGCATTTTTCATCACAAGTCTTTCAGAATTGTCTTGGATCATTGTATTGCTGAGAATAGCTAAGTCATTCACAGTTGATCATCATACAGTATTGCTCTAACTGTGTACAATGTTCTCTTGGTTCTGCTTGTTTCACTTTGTATTAGTTCATGTAAGTCTTTCCAGGTTTTTCTGAGAGAATAGTGCTCATTGTTTCTTATAGTATAATAGTATTCCATCACAGTCATAGGCAGTTTGTTCAGCCATTCCCCAACTGATGGACATCCCATCAATTTCCAATTTTTGCCACCATTAAAAGGGCTGCTACAAATATTTTTGTACATGTAGGTCTCTTTCCTTTTTGTATTTTATATCTTTGGATACGGACCTAGTAGTGGTATTGCTTGGTCAAAGTGCATGGTTTTATAGCCCTTTGGGCATAGTTTCAAATTGCCCCACAGAAAGGTTGAATCAGTTTACAAATTCACCAACAGTGCGTTAGTGTCTCAATTTTCCCACATCCCCTCAAACATTTGCCATTTTCCTTTTCTGTCGTATTAGTCAATTTGATAGGTGGGAAGTGATGGTTCAGAGTTATTTTAATTTGCAGTTTTTTAATCATTAGTGATTTTGAGGATTTTTTCATTTTTTTATAGGATTATGGATAGCTTTGATTACTTTGAAAACTGTTCATATCCTTTGACTGTCAATTGAAGAATGGCTCTTATTTTTACAAATTTGACTCCTTTCTCTATACATTTGAGAAATGAGGTCTTTATCAGAGAAATTTGCTGTGATTTTTTTTCACAATTATGATTACTAACTGTATATTTCCCTACATCCTATTTTCCCCTCTGTTTATCCTATTCTGTCTCTTTTCACCCTGTCCAATACCCTGTGTTTTGCTTCTGTCTTTTACCTACTCCAACCTGCCTTCCCTTTTATTACTTCCCCTCTCTCCCCTTCTCATCTCCTTTCCCTCCTACTTTCCTGTGGAGTAAGATAGATGTCCGTACCCAAATGAGTGGATATGTCATTTCCTCTTTGAGCCAATACCGATGAGACAAAGGTTCAGTCTCTCTCCCCTCTACTTCCACCATCTTCCCCTCTACTCTAAAAGCTCTTTAGTGCCTCTTTTATGTGAGGTAATGTATGCCATTCTACTGCTCCTTTTCCCCTTCTTTCAGTGCATTCCTCTTTTATTTTTTTAGATAATCATCCCATCATATTCAATTCAGACCCATACCTTTTCTCTGTATACTCCTCCTAACCGCCCTAATAATGAGAAAGTTTTTAGAAGTTACAAGTATCATTTTCCCATGTAGGAATGTAAACAGTTTAAGTTTGTTAAAATTTAAGCCTTATGATTTCTCTTTCCTGTTTACCTTTTTGTGCTTCTCTTGAGTTTTGTATTTGAAAGTCAAATTTTCTATTCAGCTGTAGTCTTTTCGTCAGGAATGCTTGAAAATCTTCTATTTCATTGAATGTTCAATTTTTCCCATGAAGTATTGCTGAGTAGGTGATTCTTGGTTGTGATCTGCAAGGTCCAATGTCCCCGTACACTAGGATATTCATGGCATCCCCAAACAGAGGAGCTAATTTGATACCAAAGAAAGAGTCCGGAAGCTCCAGATTAATTATAGATAGTAGTTTAATCAATTGGGTTACTCACATCAGGGGACAGTCTGAGGTGGCTGCCAGATGAAACAGTTTCAGTAATAGATCGATCCCTGCCAAGACTCCAGAAAAGCCCTTTGGTAATTATAGAAATCACACAAAGAGAGGAGGAGTGATAGTGTCATTAAACATGTGATCAAGGTTTGGCTAATGTTTTGATTTACTGCCTAGTATTGGAGTTTAGTCCAGAACCCTGGGCATCAAGGCCAGTGCTGTTGGGTAGATGTCCAAACAATACATGGTCTTATACTGGTTACTGTAGCCTTGTTATGGCTTTCACTAATCAAGACCCCACATAATCCTAATTCTTTTACCTTTTGGAATATTGTATTCCAAGCCCTTTGATGTAGAAACTGCTAAATCTTGTGTTATTCTGACTGTGGCTATATGGTATTTTTATTTGTTTGTTTTTTAAAATTTATTTAAAAATTTATTTTTAGTTTTCAACATTCGCTTCCACAAGATTTTGAGTTCCGAATTTTCTCCCCATTTCACCCCTCCCATATACCAAGATGGCATACATTCTGAATACCCCTTCCCCTAATCTGCCCTCCCTTCTATCACCCTTCCCCCCTTCTCTTATCCCCTTCCCGTTCTATTTTCCTGTAGGGCAGGATAGATTTCTATACCCCATTGCTTGTGTATCTTATTTCCCAGTTGCATGTAAAAAAATTTAACACATGTCTTTAAAACTTTGGGTTCCAAATTCTCTCCCTTCCTCCCTCTCCCACCACCCTCATTGAGAAAGTAAACAACTCGATACAGGTTGTATATGTGTAGTCATGCAAAACACTTCCATAGTAGTCATATTGTGAAAAACTAACTATATTTCCCCTCATCCTGTCCCAACCCCTGTTGATTTTTTTCTCTCTTTTGACCCTGTCCCTCCTCAGAAGTGTTTGTTTCTGATTACCCCCTCCCCCAATCTGCCCTCCCTTCTGTCATTCTCCTCCCTCCTATCTTCTTCCCCCCTATTTTCCTGTAGGGTAAGATAGATTTCCATACCCAATTGAGTGTGTATGTTATTCCCTCCTTAAGCCAAATCTGATGAGAGTAAGATTCACTCATTCCCTCTCACCTTCCCCCACTTCCCCTCCACTGTAAAAGCTTTTTCTTGTCTGTTTTATGTGAGATAATTTACCTCATTCTACCTCTCCCCCTCTCCTTCTTGCAGTATAATCTCTCTCACTCCTTAATTTTATTTCTTAGGTATTACCCCTTCATCTTCAACTCACCCTGTGCCCTCTATCTATCTATCTATCTATCTGTACATGTAATTTTTTCCTCCAACTGCCCTAATACTGACAAAGGTCTCATGAGTTACAAATATCATCTTTCTATGTAGGAATGTAAACAGTTCAACTCTAATAAGTCTCTTATGATTTCTCTTTCCTGTTTATTACCTTTTCATGCTTCTCGTGAGTCTGGTATTTGAGCGTCAAATTTTCTGTTCAGCTCTGATCTTTTCATCAAGAATGCTTGACAGTTTTCTGTTTCACTGAATTTCCATTTTTTTCCCCTGAAGGATTATACTCAATTTTGCTGTGTAGGTGATTCTTGGTTGTAATCCTCTCTCTTTTGACCTCTGGAATATCATATTCCAAGCCCTGTGGTCCTTAATGTAGAAGCTGCTAAATCTTGTGTTATCTCGATTGTGTTTCCACATTGCTGCTTTCAATATTTTCTCCTTGACCTGGGAACTCTGGAATTTGGCTACAATATTTCTAGGAGTTTTCCTTTGGGGATCTCTTTCAGGAGGTGATTGGTGGATTCTTTCCATTTCTATTTTACACTCTGGTTCTAGAATGTCAGGGCAGTTTTCCTTGATAATTTCTTGAAAGATGATGTCTAGGCTCTTTTTAAAAAAAATTTTATTAATTTATTTTGATTTATCAATAATCACTTCCATATACTTTTGAGTTGAAAATTTTTCTCCCCCTTTCTCCCCCCCACCCTCCCCAAGATGGCACACAATCTGATATAGGCTTTACATTTACATATCCATTAAACATATTTTCACATTAGTGAAGTTGTAAGTAAAAATTAAAACCAATAGAAGGAACCCTCAGAAAGATGAAACAAAACTCAACAGAAGGTAAAAATAAGTGATAGCGTTTCGACTTCCATAGTTCTTTCTTTGGATGTGGACAGCATTTTCCATCCCGAGGCCTCTGGAGATGTCTTAGATCCCTGTAATGCTGAGAAGGGTTCAGTTTAACATTCTTAGTCACTGTATAATGTGGCTGTTACTGTGTACAAAGTCCTCTTGTTTCTGCTCACTTCACTCAGCATCAGACCATATAAGTCTTTCCAGGTTTTTCTGAAGTCATAGGCTCTTTTTTTGATCATGGCTTTCAGGTAGTCCAGTAATTTTTAAGTTATCTCTCCTGGATCTATTTTCCAGGTCAGTTGTTTTTCCAATGAGATATTTGACATTGTCTTCTATTTTTTTCATTCTTTTGATTTTGTTTTACAGGGTCTTGATTTCTCATAAAGTCACTGGCTTTTGTTTGCTCTATTCTAATTTTTAAGGAAGTATTTTCTTCAGTGAGCTTCTGGACTTTCTTTTCCATTTGGCCAATTCTGTTTTTGAAGGCATTTTTCTCCTCATTGGCCTTTTGGACCTCTTTTGCCACTTGGGTTAGGCTATTTTTTAAGGTGTTATTTTCTGCAGTATTTTTTTGGGTTTCCTTTAGCAAGCTGTTGACTTGTTTTTCATGATTTTCTTGCATCACTCTCATT